TGATTCCTGAGAAACCAGATTTCCTGACGTATTGCATCGCCTCCTTGATCCTCGTCGCACAGTCGGGCAATTTACGGAAATCTCGATTCCACGGTATTTCAGCACGGTACTATCGAGCCGTGACCTGCTATGTCTAACCTGTGGCAGTGCAATATACTTATAAATGTGATATTGAAGTAGTCAGAAATTATTTGAGGTTTTAAATTCAGGGAGCGTGATGCACGAACGGACTCGAAAACGGCTTTTTTCTCACAAGAGATCAGCGAACGATGCTGGCTTTGGTCGTACCACGTATTGAAACTGCAGGTACATATTGCCCTGTGATCAGCCGAGGGAAGATTTCAACTTGTGAAACTTCTGCTGATATTTCTGATGACAATAACAATTTCACGCAGCTGGTCGCAGCATTATCGAGTCAATAAAGCAACACTTACATATTTAATGTAGAAACCAAGCACCTCCTTGAAGTACAGCGGCAAGTCGGTTAACAGTACGTATGCAGCCCAGTTGTTGCTGAAATGACTGAGGAACACGGCCCAAACAGGCTTTGATTTAAAGACTCTGTTCCAAGGGACGGAAAACGTAGTACTCTACAATAGATCTTCATTCGAAACTGACAGGCAGCAAACAAAGCAGCGAAATAAGAACACCGTTTAAAAGATTCGCAGTACTGCAAGAAATCAAAAACGTTAGGAGTACAACATCAGCTTCCTATTCGATCCTCCCACGATGTTCAATCGGTGTCATCTGGCGATAACAGAGCTTACACAGCAGAGCGATACATATTTGATACGCGTATTCGCCAAACCGTTAAAAATCGTATTTCAGATTTATATTGGGAAGCATTCTCTGCTGTAGAAAAGGTCATATTCCTCGTTGCAAGTACGTCTGTCTTGTCGAGTTGTGCGCCTATGGCAGGATGCCCCTTGACAAAACTCCAATTTTACATCGATATTTTGGACGGCAACTCTACCGGTGCCGGTTCCAAGTCCAGATGAGAAAAGAGCTGGGGGGGGGGCATTGAAGACTGTGGCGAGGTCTGCAGTAGACGCCTACCCCTCATGGTTTGCTGTCATCGAATATAACATCGGCTCTGTCTTCGTCCGGACTACCAAGGGATGTACAGGCTCTTGGAAAATTGAGGCAGGCTGCGAAGGGTCAGCGATGAGACCCCGCATTCCCCCTCTGGCAGCCCGTGGCGTAGCAGTGGACAACGCCCACCGAAGATCAACAAAAAAACTACGAAGATACAAGTCGGCAATGGAGTCGCTATCCGTTCTGAACGGAAGTAAAGGCTCTACGCATTATAGAATGTCAATAAAGGCCCCACGGGAACGATGCCTAAAGTGGGAGCTCACAGAGACAAATTGAAATATCTCCTCATTCAGACGGAAAGATCAGCAGCTA